ATATTTACTTTCCTAATATTCTTTCTTCTCCTCTCCTGCAGAACTCACACTGCATCTTGTTCTCACGCGTCAGAGTAAAAAGGATCCGTCGGTTTGTTGGCAGCTTTTCAGAGGTTTTCAAACCTCCGGGGAGCACTATTTGTTTATCTGATGAAGTTTAATCGAGGTGTTGTAGACGGTTAAGATGAAGGTGGGAATATGTTGATACTTCTGTAGAGCGGTACCTGATGGCAGGACAGAGAGGGGCGGGCCTAGTTGGCTGCTTGGGGCCGTCCCTCGGGGATGAGCGAGGTGAAGAAGGTGCTGATGAAGGACCACGCGGTGGTAAGGAAGCTTGGTTCAGGTATAGCAACAGCAGCAGCAGCTTGCTCCTCGTGTCCTCCCCCTCCCTCCTCCCCGCTGTCGTCGTCCTCCAGACCCTCATCCATCAAACGTTCCTGTGACACAGAAGAGAGGACGGTGCATTCAACACAAGAAGTCAGAGAAAGGCCATCGTGCTTGGTTTGCTTTTTTAACTTGAAACCTTTAAATATCAATCAAACCGATATGCTGATACAGCCCACATGTTATCGGGTCATTTGTGTGTTCAAACAGCGGAAGAAGAAGAAGAAGAAGAAGCTCACTCACACAGTAACAAACCTTCAGATGCACGCCCGCAAAAAGACTCAAAAGAAAAACGAAAAGTCAGCACACTCCACGTCCTTTAGGGTTTTTTTATTTGAGTAGAGCCGCAGCGTACAGATCAACAAATCAGTGACGCTGATAAAAGGTTTTAAAGGACATTTAGTGTTCTGACTTTTATGTTTTCTCAGGCCCCGTGTCCACCTGCCGCTTTTCACCGGGCAGGAAAGCGCTGGCTGTGCGCTCGGGAGCTCTTGCGCTGAGAAGAAAAACGCTGCATGTCCGTCCTGTCTCTATGACAACAGTCTGTTGAAAACGGATGCTTGTTATTCGAGATCGTTTATTTCCCGATCAGACACGGAGCAAAGAGGGTGTGAGTACGAGACAAAACTACGGGGACTATCAAATATTTGGAAAAGAGCGCCGGTGATGTCAACAGCGCCTTTCTGAAAAGTTGAAAGATTTTCAACTTGAGCGCTCGGAGCTACTTTTGCAAACGCTTTCTCCTCATTGAAAACAAATAGCAAAAAAACCCGCTATGTGGACACGGGGCCTTGTTTGTGTTTTCAGCTTCAAGTACACTAAAAAAAAAAAACAGTTATCTGATTAAACTAATGTCCGCCCTCTGATGGAAAACGTGTTTGACAAGTCAGTGCAGTTAGAAGCTGAACTGAATCACCAGAGTCATGTCACCTTAATTATTTTGATCTTTGTGTGTGCTGCCAGGCTGGATTTGTCTTTAGCAACAACAACAGAGTTTGAGCGCTCATAGAAGCTCGAGCACCGCCAGGAGCGACGGATCATGGGACTATGTACACATTATCCTCTGCACAGCTCCTACATTGCACCTTTTGTACATTTATTTTATTTTATTTTTTTATATTTTACATTTTAAAATTCTGTTTTATATATTGTAATAGCTTCTTCTACCGTATTATTTAAGTTGTTGCTAGTTCTGCTTTATTTCCCTGTTAATTGTTTAGCACCAATACACCAAGTCAAATTCCTTGTATGTGTAAATGTACTTGGCAATAAATCCAGATTCTGATTCTGATTCTGATTGTTGTGGCGCAAATGCTGTGAGGACAAACTGACCATTTCCTGTATGTCCTGGTGTCTCTCTGCCTCCTCCTGAGGAGCTCTGGCTCCATCTCCTCCTCTCAGGTTCTGCTGCTCCAGCCTGAAAGGAAACCAGCCGGCCTGATGTCTGGGGGAGAAAAAACACACAAACGTATTCTTAGAACGGAAATGACTTCATCTTAAAAATACGTTTCTTTCATTCTGATGTTTGATGAAAACGTTTGACGTTAAAAACACATTCAGAAAACTATTATATCTGACTCACAGGTAGACCAGCAGCATGGCGCCTACCACCATTACAAAGCGGCTAAAGGAAGAGTAGAAGTAAACGATGCTGAGCAGCACGCCGGCACGAGAAACCGTGTACAACCAGTCCAACCAATCGCGGTTCAGCTCGTCGTCGTTCAGCACCGCCCCGCCCTGCGCGTTCATCTGGATGTTGGGGTTCGCCGGCTGGTTCTCTGGTAGAGGGTTGGGGTCCGGGTTGGGTCCCAGCGGCGGCTGCACGGCCTCGTTGGGCTGGGCGGGTTGAAGGGGCAAGGAGGGGGAGGGAGAGGAAGGAGGGGGGGAGGCGGGAGGCTGAGAGGCGGCTACTGCTGCTTGACTGAAGAGAGAAGAGAGAAGATACATTTAAAAATAAAACAGAACACAGCGACTGAGCTGAAGCAGAGAAGAAGTAACCGGTGGAACTAAACAATGAAACGTGAATAACTGTTCGACCTATAGGAGGAGACTTGACTGGAACAACGACGACCCTCTACATAAATATCTAATATCGATTAATATCTTGTGAACTAGTTACTATGACAACCACGTTTCCAAAGAAGCTCAGACATTAAAATCTGAATAAAAACAGGATGTGATTATTTGAAAAACTCTGAAACCATGTTTGTAAATTGAGATAATTTATTTCCCGATCAGACAAGGAGCGAGGAGGATGTGGGTACAAGACACGATCAGTAGTCAGCAAAACTACAGGATGTAGTTTTAAAATACAGACATGCATCCGTACTTACTATTGCATGTAGTAATGGCGTGCATACATCTGCTGCCACCACAGCATCTGCATGGGCATGTACATTGGATGGGGGGGCATGTTGGCCGGGAGGCCGCCTTGAAGAGGGACCTGGGTTCCATCGGGCCTGCGGAGGAATTTCATGTGAGTTAATCCACTAAGCATAATAGAAAAACACAGCGGCGTCAGAAGAACTCTTACCACTGAGGGACAGCAGGGGGGCCGTGAGGGTTGTACTGGGGGAGGCCACCGCGATACCTCAGACCATCATAACTTCCTGGGACAGAAGAGGAAGAGGCCGGCTGGCTGTCCTGATTCGTAGTGTTGGCAGGCGAGGAGGAGCCAGTGTTGTCTGAACTCTGAATAAAAAGATGTGGACACAAATCAGAACTTGAATATTGCTAGAATAATAAAACTGCATGTTCATGAGTTTGTCTCGATGGAACCCAGAGAAAGTGACAGTAAGATAGTGTGTAAGGCGGACCATTCAACTGTATGCCCCAGGTAATCAGGGTATCAGGAAATGCACAGGACAGCAACACTGGGAGGGAGGGGGTTATTGAGTTGCGTTTCTGATTTTATATTGATTTTGTCCAAATTTTCTTCCTCTCCCTGTTTATTTGGGGCGGCAGTAGTTCAGTCTGTAGGGACTTGGGTTGGGAACCAGGAGGGTTGCCGGCCCAAGTTCCAGTTCGGACAAAGTCTGGAAGTTGGTGCGGTTGCTGGAGAGGTGCCAGTTCACCTCCTGAGCACTGCAGGCTGTCCTCACCCGAGCTCAAGAGTGCTCGCCGTGGCAGCCTCCTCAACAAAAAGGTGTAAAATTAGATTTCCCTTCACTAGAACAATGGAGTTAATCTTCTTCTTCTTTCAGGCTGCTGAATTTTTTTTTTTTTTTTTTTAAATCAGCAGTTCTGGAGACTACTCGCTGGGAAGCTCCCCCCCCAAAAGACTGTTCATGTTTGTGTTCATATTGCCCGTATGAAACAAAAAGATGGAGAGAAGACAGCGGTGAAAACTGTTTGTTGTGTGTCCTGGGTCTCTTAATACATCTAAAACGTCTCCTTCTGAAAGGAACTGTTGTTTAAACTTGACTGTTAGTCGATTTGTCTGTCGCTACGTTTACATGCACAGTTAACAACAACAACAATCAAACAACAATCAAACAACATCCTGACTCTACAGAATGTCAGCATTAAGATGTAATCTGAGTACATTAGCTTTTAGCACAAACTATACAGTAAAGCTTGAAGTGGGAGTCAACATGGTTCGGCAGCTCTCTCATGAATGTCTGACTGAGCATAATTTGACTGAGTTTTTTCCACCCTGTGTTTCCTGGAATGAGCCTGAATAAAGCTATCGTTCACACAACGTTTGAGCTGTACAGGAGGAGGTCGTCAGAGCGGTAACTCTGTGTACTCACGCTGGAGTCAGAGGCAGAAGAGCTGGCCGTGGAGGGGCTCCGAGGCATGGGCGAGGCTGGCGGGCTGTGAGAGGCACACACTAGATGCATCATGTGGTATTCATCCTGCTGCGGGTCGACGAGGTCATGAGGAAGAGGAGGAGGAGGAGGAGGTGAAGGCAGCGGAGAGATGAAACAAAAAAAAGAGAGAGAGAGTGAAAGAGAGAGAGAGAGAAAGAGAAAGGATTAATGTGGAAACGTCCAGAAGACAAACACAAAGCTCAGCCTTTGTTGCTCAATCACGTCACATCAGCTTTTGTTCCCCGCACAGCCCGTTTCAGTTCCCCGACAGAGAAAAGTAAACAAACTGTGTGGGCTCAAACAGACAACGACTGAACAACTTCAACAATGTCCACACAGAATGCAGAACCGACTTCCAACCAAATGTTTCTTAAAAAAAGGATTTGACACTTGTGGCTGAAGACTTTGTCCTGAAATGTTCTTACTGCGGTCCAACAGATAGTCAGCTGAGAGGAAGTTAATTTGCAACTTTTTTTAGTCTTTAAGAACTAAAGTACCAAAAAGCTTCCTAATGGTAGCTCCTCAGACTGGACAGGTGCGACAGGTGCTATCTATGTGCACATAATTAAATGTTTACATTATCTTTTCCATCAACCATTACCTTCTTCTCCGCTCTTTTGTTGTTATGGTGAATATGTCAATTTTACTGAAACATGAAAATGTTGTTATCTACAAGATCTTCACCAGGCCCTAAGATCTAACTGTGTGGACCTTTTATCCTTTCTTCTGCAGTTTGTACATTTCTTGTCCTGCACCTGTATGCATTTTGCCTGGACGTGCGCACACAAGTTTTCTCAAAAAGGCTTTTGTTTCAGACTTGATAAAGTTGAGGGACAGCGCTGAGAGCTGACTGCAGAAAAAGTCTACCCATTAACTGCACAAACATGTCTCCACAAAAAGAAGAAAAATAGGAGAATATATGAATTTGGAGTCTTATTGGAAGAGAAGAATCTGCTTGGGTAGGTCTCCAATCTCAATTATACCCATGCAAAACATTAACCTGCATACACACACAGATAAAACTCGACTCCTCTTACCTTTCTGAGCACATCTCCGAGCTGCAGGTGATCCTGAAGGAGTCTCCCAGAGTACACCAGCCGCTGGTCTTTAGACAGCTACAACACAAACAGGGTACAGACAGCATGAAATCTAACAGGTTATAGACAGCACATTTGTTGATGTTTCAGTTACCAACTGCCAGAAGGTGACAAGGACCTAATATATAGACTGTACGTGGATTTAGGTTATATGTTTGGGTTAAACCTCAGGATTTTTTGTGACTTTTTGAGGGGGAACTATCGACACCTACACACCTGGGAGACTTTTTTCTGTCTGCATTCGCACTGCCACGTTTTCTTTCAAATGATTTTAAGAAGAGCTTTTACCAACTGGTGTTTGCTGAAGTTTACCGTGGAATTCAAAAATGGTGGTTGGTGGTACTGGATTGGCTCCTGTGTTCAACCAGTCTTTGTGCACTTAAAGTCCCTCGTGTGCTGGGAGAGTACCTACTCTGAACCAGGAGCTAAAAGGGTTCTAGGAACTAAGTAGTTCATACTTCCTGCAGTGTGGAATCAATAAAAGAGGGGACGGGTTCAAAAAGTTCCTAGGACTATGAAGAAGTTCCTGCGGTCCGAAAACACATCTTGTTGTAATGGGAAGTTTCACAACATAGGATGTGGAATCCTCGATGTGTGTAGTGACTAGGCTTTTTATTTCATTCTAATGAAATTTGTTTTCTGGGTTTACAAGAGTACAAATCTTACACAAAGCAAAACCAGTTAGATAAATCTTATTCTCTGTGCGTCACATGGCTTTGAATTCTTCTCAGTAAAGCTCTTCATGTCGTTTTTTTTTTTTTTTTAAAGACACTGGACCCTGAAAGAGGAGGCAGGTTAAGACCAAACATTCCCCACCAGACAAGTTCAAACTTGCAACAGTTTGCAATGCACTGGTCTACAACGTTTTGAAACACATGAATGTTCTGCTGTCTGCCTGTGTCAACTGAAGGTCTATGCGTCTGTTTGAAGAAGCTACACAAACACAGTTTAGCATTCCTGCTAAGATTTCTTCAGACTGTGTTTCCGCAAAAGCACCATAACTAGGCTCAGCCGTCATTACTTCTTTGTACATTACTTTCCATTCCACAACCAATGCGACCTCCAACTCCTCCAAGAGAAAGGCACAAAATACTGTATTGATGGAATATACAGTACGTAATTTATGTGCACTTGTTTTATCTCACCAGAGCTTGAACGTCTTTTACGCGTTTTACTCTGAACTTCGCTAACCGTTCCCTCACTTGGTAGGCAGGTGTGAGCCGGATGGCAATAGCCGTGTTGACTATTTAATAGCACACCATGGCACTACGCTAATGAATATGTTATCACTGTCGCACAGGAAGTGACAATTCTTTCGACCAATCAACGGACCATAGTGTGTCTAGATCCAGCCTTTTGGTTCGGATCGGTACTCTTGACACCACAACAGAAGGGTAGTAAAAACATTGGACGGTACGGATCGGTTAATTTGGTACCATTACCAACTTTTGACGGTGGAAACGCCCGTACAGAACTGAACCGGACTGCTTGGTGGAAACCGAGCTAAAGACAGCCATCAACTTGTGAGATACTCACCGGTTTGCTTGGGTACACTTTGGAGATGTGACTCTTCAGCCTCTCCACAGTCCAGTTGAGGAAGCAGTTGATGGTCTGGTCTTCATACTTTTGGTTGGGGGCCTTAATAACCAGCGTTACAGGATTATCAAGTTCTCCAGGATCCATGGCTCATATCATTCACAGGGTGGGCTCTGATGAATCTGAGCTCAGCTGAGCTTCGCGTCACAACTCAGGACTCTCCTGAGGACTAAGTTCCCTCAAATTCTCTCCATCCTGCACTCAGAGACCCACCTCAAACAGTCCCTGCTGTGGGTGGGGGGCTGCGGTTCCCCCTCTACAAAATATGTTTCATCTGTGGGGTCAGTCAGTGGATACCCACTATATCAATGGAGTTACTGTAGAAAAGAGCGGAGAAGAGAGAGTGTTTTTACCTGGAAAGAAGATTTTAAAGCAACGCGATCAAATTTCAAACACATAATACGTTTTTACATTTCGTCTTAAGATGAATCAATTTTTGGACCCTAGTTTTAGAAAAAAAATCAGACCTTATTTTTAGTTGAATATTTTGGCTGAATGTTTATTTTTTAGTTGCCAGTTAATTTATTATTTTTTTAATTACATGAATGAAAACGTAGGTGATATTGTTATTAAAAAAAAATACCAAAAAAACAACTATATTTTTTGCCAATCACTCAATAATACTTAAGTTTATTAGTTTAGTTTATTTGCACATTTTTTTTGAAAGAAGAATCAAACAGAAAATTAAAAAAAAATTAAAAAACTTAAACACATGTGCAGGTGAGGTAGAAACCCAAACCCTCACCTGAAGAGATTAAACAAAGTTAAAATAAAATACACTTATAACACCTTCTTTGACAGAAAACAAAGTGGCGTTATTCCTGTTTTATAGTCATATACACATATAAATATATATTTAACATTCCAGCGTCGAAACATAAAGTTAATCTAAAGCGTGGTGGTCGTGAGTTTCAGGTGACACTTCCTGACACCTGCTGTGTTGCGTCATCTTTACGTGAAACTGTCACAACAACTAACTAGCTATAAATCAGCTACAAGTCAGTGGGCTCGTCGTTAATGGTTGGCTCATTGCGCTGTTACAAGTGTTATTATTTAACTCACTAATACACACAGATCATAGTGCAGGTCACCCCGAGCAGCTCTGCTTGTTTATTTTGACCCTGATAATGAAGTCAGCAAACAGGGTTAGCTTCTTAGCTAACGGTAGCTAGCGTCGCTAACCTCGCTTGGCAAACCGTCCCCGCTGTGACAACACGTTAAACCATCCACCTAGGTTTAACCTGAAGGCGGGTTATCTCTACAGAGAGTTGTGTTTTTCTACCTTTTTTTTTTTTTCCTCCCTTGGTGCTGTCGTCCCCCTCGTCCAAGCTCGGCTCGGCTCGGCTCGGCTAGCCTGCTCTGTTGTTGTAATGTCGGGTGTGAGACCGGAAACACGTCATCATCCAAACCACAGCTGATCGGAAAAAAAAAAATCAGCCAAGAAAGTGTAAAATAATTATTTAAAAAAAAAGATCACACGGAAGATACGAATAAATAACTATATATTTACAGTGTTTTATTTCACACATGTCTGATTTGTTTTTTCTATGTTAATCTGAATTTTTTTGTATTTTATTTTAAATCAGCCGAGAGGACGTACAAATACTTTGAGCAGCCACAGAGAAGTATTAGTTTATAAAAGACAACATAAAAACTTGTTTACCCCTTTAAAATTAAATGAGCTGCGCCGCTGGTTTTCTTGCTAGTTAGTAATTTAGCAGATTGTCATTTTTTAGTCTATGGTTAGTAACTGTTGCTAGCGCCGTGGTTGCTAGGAGACGGCTCAAAGATATTTAGTGAGTGTGATGATTCCCTGACACTTAATAATGATCAAAATTGGTCTCACCAGTCTGTAATTCAATTATTTTTCTTAATATCAATGAACATTTTTAAGTTCTTCTGTATTTATCATTTTGTTGTTCAGTAATAACAACTTGTGATTCCTTCAGTATGTTAAATACTCACATATAACCTTACTGTTATTGAATTTTGTCCCACTTTTTGTATTAAATGGTCATGCTATTTTTTTGTAGTATTTACTAGTGGGCTGAAAAAAGGGTTTAGGGTCCAGAAGTCCTCCTTGATCATGTATATTAGACAAATTCCTTCAGTTTTAGTTTATTGATATGCTTCAAGGCACACAGATGAAGAAAAGGACTTGAGTTTGGGTTTTTGAGTGATTTATTCTTCAGTATACAGGTCGCCAGGTTCCAATTAAACACGTTCCTGTCTAACATTTAATGCTCTGATGTTTTCTGATCATGTTTCAGTTTGTGCAGAACCTCCTTGGTCAACTGTTTGCTGTAGCGGTTGATCTTCCAGTGTCCGGGCATCCATCCGAGCAGGAAACGATGAAAATCTGTCCAGGCGAACGCAAACATGTCCCTCCACTCTTTCTCCAAAGCAGAAAAGTCCACGTCTGTTTTCACACATTTTTTTAATTCTGCAAAATAGTAGTCCAGTAACCCCGGTACCCTCTTTTCACACTCCCTCTCCTCCATGCAGCTTCCTAAAAAGTACACGACGTCTTTCATCCCACAGCCCCCTCCCACATACTGAAAGTCCACTGCTGCTACATCACCTGCACTTCGGGAAAAACAGAAGTTTGCTAATTTGGCGTCTCCATGGACGATGGTTTTAAAGCTACATTTGTTCAGTATCATGTCAATTTCACCGGCTGCTGCTTTGAGCTGAGCGTCGTCCATGGCCTCCAACTCGTCCGGCCGCGTCTGCAGGTGCCAGTAGGTCCCGACAGGCCAGAGACCCTCGGGTTCCACGCCCAGGAAGAGAGCGTGGAAGTTGGCTAGCCAGCTGAGACAAGACTTTATTTCTCTGTCCTTCACACTGGTCCTATAACGAGAAAAAACAAACCATAGTCATGTGGCATAAAATGTAAATACCTTCTCATAATGAGATGTAACGATAGCGGAGATTGTAGGATAATCGTAGACTGTGAGGTCGAAATAAAGTGCAATAGAATAATGCACTGCAGAGAGACACAATATGTTCTGAAGTCACACCTTCTCTGATCATATCCAGCCACATCCAGATCCTCCAGCACGATCAGCATCTCGTCTCCATGGGAACAGGCAGCCAGGCAGGCGGGGATCCGAGAGCTCTGACTGGTGGAATAGTTCTGGTACCAGTGCGTCTCCACCTGGTACGACCTCACTTTACGTGCGTGTGAGCGATCTGTGCTCCAACCTCCCGGGTGCTCGGCCTCCTCCGGAAACTTGACGTGCTTGACGACCACGGAAGGCCGGTCGCAGCCCTCAAGGTGGAGGCGAACGATCTGCCCGTAGCCGCTCCACAGAGTCTGGATGTTTGCACCGACTCGTAGGGATGACGCTCCAGTCGCCTGCAGGATGAGATCCTGGTACTCCTGTTTCATCTCTGAGAGAGAGCTGCAGAATAAAACATACAGAGCACAAAGTCTGTTTCAGTATCTTTAGATCACTCGCTCATCGCTGTTTGATGGACGCACGCGTTGGACTGACTTCTTTGTCCACACGCCGACTTAAACACTGGCGTAGTCTTTATCTACAAGTCTATCTTCGGTCTGTTTCCTTCATATCTTCTGACCTACATCAGTCAGACGAGTACATTTTTAATAATAAACCGTATTTACATAGTACGACGGAGGATTAGGGCCACGTGAAAAAAAAAAAAAAGAAGAAATGTGAGATTAAACTCGAACATTTCCGAGTTTAATCTTGTAAATTAACGAGTTCGAGACCAGCCTGCGCGAAACTGATGAAAGTAAACTCTTAAAAGAAAGAAGTAAGACTTAGTAGAAAGTCTTTAAAGAATGAAAGAATAAAGTTGTTATTTTAGTCTATATCAGAAGAGCAGCAGCATCCTGTTCTCAAATGACAAACATGGAGCATCTTGTCCTAAAGGTTTCACCAATAAGGAAATAGGTTACTTCCTTGTGTAGTCGGTAAAAACAGTTCAAGAGAAGTTTTCACTTCAACTTGCAAGAACTTGTTTATCTGTAAAATGATGAACAGGACACAAACTGTCTCTGCACATGAGACTCTTTAACAAGGCAGACCGATAACAGACACAAATAGTTGTGTTGGGGCTTTACTCATGCAGATATGAAACTACACATGCTTTTGTCACATCATCAGCTTCACATTGTCATAAAATATCAGCACCCTGAAAAGATACTGAAAGAACCACACTGACTGGGAGGAAGTCTGCAGAGGAAAATACTTTAAGAGTTCTACTTTCATCATTTTGCGCAGGCTGGTCTCGAACTCGTAAATTTACGACTTTATTCTCGTAATAGTTCCTGATTTTAAATTTGGGTAGCATCACACACACCGAAAGATTTTTAAAATCTTAAAAGAATATGAAAATGTGAGAGAACCTCACACATGACGACAAATCATGACGGATTATCCAAAGATGGTTTGTTAATTCAAAGACACATTTGATTTATTCAAGTACCGCATGTCGACTATTTACTGCAATATAACTTGTAAAAGAGACATTCACACGTCCTCTTCTAGTTGTTGCTATGGTTACAACATTCAGACTCTCTGAACTGACATCACGTGAACGGAACGCACTGAAGACGGAAGAACGACTTCCTAACTGGAAACTGGAACATCCGAGGAGCCTCTGAACGCAGCATCTTACTGTGCTTACCTGTAGGCTACGTGTTTTTTTATTTTTAATAGCTGATGATATTTTTTTTTCTACTTTTCATTTTTGAGCAGCAGTCACACGATTCTTCCAAACACACATCAGTCACAAACAGCATGTTTACCATCCTGTGATCATCATGTTTACAGTATAAAGCGTCACTTACCTTTTCGATCCAGACTAAATCAGACTTCACTCTCCCTGTTTCTCTCACATAGATCATCGTACCAGGACATGTACAAGTTAAACTAAAACTAGTAAGAGGCATATGTGATTATATCTGTCTTAAAACATTCAGCTTCATGTCAAATCCGTCTCAATGTACACAGGAAGTTTTTCTCCGCAGCCTTCTGTGTCCCGTTTAAAGCTACAGGCATGACATAATGCAAGACAAATGAACTCCGCTGCCCCCTGCTGGACTGGAGAGCAACAACATGTTAGGTCTGTGAGATGTATTTGGTAGGCTACATAATGCACTACTCAAACCTAAAGGCAGGGTTGGTAATTTTCTCCAGATCCACTTTTTAAGATTTTGGTTATCAGGCTACGGAATAAACAAATAGAAAAGAAGACACAGAGACAGAGAGAGAGAGAGAAAGCACAGGCCAGGCGACTAATTAGAGACAATAAGGTGAGTATGTTTCTTGCTCTTATATCTTACAACAAAACATAATTTAAAGGCTTTATATGTGATTTTTCACACTTAAATGTAATAGAAATCAAGTATATCCTCTGAAAATAACTCTGTGAGTCATGACTGTGTACAATGAGTGTAACACCCGAGTCCCACTGTCTGTGATGCTTTCCGAGTTTTCCGAGTCCTATCTTCAGTTTGTTTACATCGCCCGGACGGCCGGCCGGCTCCTCCCCTCGTGTATAAAACATGTTTAATTGAGGGACTAGAGAAAAGAAGAATAACATACTGTACTCACTGCTTAACTGTGTTTCAAGATCACGATCATTTCGGTAAATTTACATGCAGTGTGAAGATATGAGCATAATAAAGATCGCTAGCATTAGCATGCTAACACAACAATGCAGCGCAAGTTGTTTTGGTTTCATGCTGGTGCTCAAGGGCGACATCTGCTGGATCAAAAAATCACATAAAGTCTTTAATGTTGGGTTTTCTGAAAAGTTGGAACAGTTATGGAGGTGGTGGGGGGGGCACTGATCCTGTTGTTTGGTTAATGGTTTACTCGTTTAGTTTATTCCTTGTGTTGTTGCTAGTTGTCTTATTTAGTAATCGTCCATCCTGGCGTTGCTTGTTTCCTTTGTGTGTTTCTCTATCTGAATGTTTCCTAGTTTATTTTGTCATTTCTTATCCTTGTGTGTGTCTATGTTCTAGTATGTATTGTTACATCCTTGAGTTCTCTGTGTGTCTTCAGTGTTTCCTGTTTTATTTTGTCGTTCTCTTGTCTTTATTCCTGCCTCTGTGGCTGAATCTCCATGTCCTCTCTAAACTCTGAGCCAGGGAAGTTTTTGAGTGCACTTGTATTTAACCAAAAGGTTAAATACAAATGTGACAGCACTTTGTGACTTCTCTGTAACCATGACAGCATGATGTCATGTAGCATTATGTGTTTTAATTTTTATGTTTTTTACTTAAATCACTCACAGCCATGGCGCTTATAAAAAGTTTTTACTTAATATAGAGGCTATATATGTAAATGTCTTGGATAAATAAAGGTTTATCTAATCTTAAATAACGGGACTAATATTCTCTCTGTCTCTCTTGTTTTTGTTTAAAAACTTGAAGCAGAGTTCTGAATTAGCTGTAGTTGTCATGATTTGGTTTCTTATTTTCAGAGTTTAGGTTTTCTTGTTGTTTTCAGTTCTCATTCTTGTCTGATGGTGTTGTTTCCTTTGTGCGTTTTCTAGTTAGTGTTTCACGTGTTATTTTTGTAACTTCATATTCTAGTGTTTCTTTACGTTCTAGTGTGTTTTGTTTCATTCTTGAGTTCTGTGTGTCTTCAGTGTTTCATGTATTTTATTTTGTAGTTGTGTCCATTCCTTCCTCTGTGTGTTTCCCTTCAGTGTGATTGCCCTGATTGTCCTCACCTGTGTCATTAGTCTCACCTGCGTCTGATTACCCCTGTGTCTATTTAGTCTCTGTGTTTCTTTCCTACTGTGTCAGTTCGTTGTGTGTTGTATGTATGTCAGTTTTGCTCGTGCTGCTCTGTGGCTCCCTGTTTTTGATCCCTGTGTTTTTTGTTGAACTTTTGAAATAAAGTTTTGTTGCCTTTGGCCTTTTTGTTTAATTAAATATTTCTGGTTTCTACACTTGGGTCCACCTCCCTTGTTTTCCAACCGTACGTAACATTAGTTTCCAAATAAACTTTTTTGGTTGACTGTAAATAGTGTGGTTTCACCTTCCTGCTTATCTATAGTCTCCCAACAAATATAATGTATAACACATATTTATTGGTAGATGGTACAGACTTGACAGCAGATATTAACTCTGTTTTTCTCATTGACTGTTCCTTCATGTATTCTTTGTTATTCTTGAAAATGTCTTTAAACTGTCCCAGTGTTTGACATGTTTTTATTTCATCACTGCAGCTGTTCCATATATTAACACCATTAGTTGTGATACAGTGCAGTTTCAGGTGGGTCCTTATTGCTGTTTTTTTTTTTTAACATAAATGTTCCACTGAGGTTGTGTTTACTTTCCCTATCTAAAGAAAAAATCTTTGGATACTGTTCGGTAGCTGATGGTTTTTAAGTTTTTACATGATTCGAATGCTTTTAAAGTCAACCAGGTCCTCGAATTTCAGTGTTTTTAATTTGATGAAGAGTGGGTCTGCTGATTCTCTGTAGTTGGAGTTTGTAGTAATTATTATATTTCGAGCTCCACAGATAACGGTGAGAAGAAATGTTGCAGTAAGAACATCTTTTCTTCTTTTTCATTTCAAACAGCGATGGAAAAGACTCACCTGCTTCTACTTCTGTCAGGTAAGAGTTCTTTTTCATCAACGTTCCAAATTCAATAAACTTCATCGTCCAAAAACATTGGACTTCTCCGAGCAATCCCAGGCTTGACTTTTCCTTCAGTGAACTCGGGGTCTGCCTCTACGTCTCCTCCCAGTTGGGTGTGCCCTGAAAACCTCCAAAGGGAGGCGTCTAGAAGGCCTCCTAATCACCTGCCCAAACCACCTCAACTTGCTCATTTTGATTGGAAGGAGTAGCGGCTCTACTCCGAGCTCCCCCAGACATTAATGTCTCGAAACTGAAAATCTACTGTATACCAGCCGCCACTGCCCGTCAACATGTTGCCAACCTCATAACATAGCTAACATAACATGTGTGGCTAATGGTTGTTACACATTTCAGTTTCATAACATGTAAAGCTGAACAGATATCACTTTCAAATATATGCTGGAGGTTCACTACATACTAAGCCATGCAAGCGAAGTTCGCCGTCATGATGTAGTGGTTTGCTCGATTGACCATGACCCAAACCTTGTTCATGGCTGTTCTCTCTACTCGCAGCTGGCCGGTGATGTGGATTTCCTTGTTGTTGATATGTTTGATGATGAAGAAATTCGCCGTTGAGACTGACTTGCTTTCAAAGAGTATAATTTTATTTAAGCAATAAACAGAATCACTGGTCACGTCTGACCAGGAGGATCAAGAAGCCAATAATGATCTCTCTCGAACACACAGAGACAATTGCTTATATGCATCCAAACATCCGCTTTTCGTCATGGGTCATAAAACATCACGTTACACAACCACATGTGGCACTACTCCTATACAATACCTCAATTTAAACATTCCACCTAAGGGGACTCCTAAATCTCCTTCAGATACTATCACAAGACGCACCCGTTGTAAACTTATATTATCTCTGTCCTAGTTACATCAGACACTTCATAGTCCCCCCTAGCGAGACTATAGTCTCGCAAACGAGATAAATTATACAATTATGATGTTAATTAGCCTCATACGAATCACTTCTGTCCATGCTTAACCTTAGTAATATAGTAAAATTTTATTTGTGGAGTGTGAGAGCGAAAAACCCATCAAGCAGCTATCTTTCTTTATTATCCATCAAACAATCTAGACAGGAAAACTCTCTCACGGTTCCTCTGCCCCAGGCAACCACCTATGGTACTCCAAACCAATTAAAAAGAAAAGGGTTATGAAAACTTTTTAGGATGATATATAAATGCACACATTCAAAACCTCAGAAATACAATCTAAAAATTGTCCAAAGTCAGGCTGGTCGACCCATCGCACCTTCCAATGGACCTCTCCCTACCTAACACCACTTTCCCTAAGGATCGATAAAGAAAGAAAACACCTGAGGTCCCAATATATGCATCTTATACAGTTCCAGAAAAATATGTCTTGCTAAAAATATCTACTATAAAGTAAAACATACAAAAATATTTATCAATATTACAAGTTACATTGTAATAAACCTCAATGATTTTTCAATCGAAACCCCTCATCATGATGTCTTCATTCAGGTTTCCGTTGTCCATTTCCATCCTCCATTTTCTTAAGTTTGGTTGTTTCAACTCCATTAATCTGGAAGGATCTCTGGACAATCAGCCACCCTCACATTGGTCTCCCAAATATCATCCTGGGAAGAAAAATCAACAGCCAGTATCTTTGTACATACAAAACATCAAAGATATTCATTTTTGTATCATACTTTCACATTATTCCACTACATGATTAACATACATATATACATGATTAATATACATGATTAAAATATTCAATTCCCCCTTTTATCAATTCACTTCCAGTTCAAAATAATAGTGAGTCAATGTTGAATTCAGATATTCAAAAATGGATATTTCTCTCCAATCTCTATGACCTCCTCACCTTCACTTAGGTCATTACCACTCAGTAGCGGCATCTGAATGTTTTCTCCTGGCATCACAACTCCTACCCATCTCAATATCATAGCCTTAGCAAAGGTCAACAACAGCGTACAAAAACAAAACATCACACACAGTGATAGAAGGGTAGCCACCAAAATCTGAACCACTATAGCTCCTACTGGTCCTAATTGGTCTTGTAACCAGGTATTCGCAGACCATCCCGCTCTTTCTGATGGACCAAATGAATCCCTAATTAGTTTCAAAGCATCTATGACACTAGTCATATTGTCAGTAGCATCAGGAATCAAAGTGTAACAGGCTTCTCCAGTTAGATTCAAAGCTACACAGAGGCCACCTTGTTTGGCCAAAATGTAATCAAGAGCCATGTCATGTTTCAGCAACGTCAATCGATGACTCCTCTGAGTATTTGACAAATATTCAAAACCTTTTATGGTCTCGTTTGCAAAACCTTGCAGGGTATATGTAATATTATCAATATGATCAGCTAAGTATGTAACACCATACCATGGAAACAATCCTATT